GAGCGGCTCCTTCATCGAAGCCGGCCCGGCCTCGGACCCCGGTCTGTGCTCCGAGGCCGGTATCCAGATCGCAGAGCCCTTCCGGTGCCAGGGAGCGGGCTGGCCGCGAACTTCCGTCCACCTCACTTGACCACATTCTACCAAACGTGCTGCCGAGGCTCAGCAGGCCAGACACAGTCCCGCGTCTGGGGCTGAGTCAGCGCCCTCGTCATGGATGTGCCGGTGCTCCCGCGCTCTCAGGACACGGCACGAACTGCTGCGTCTTTGTCCATTTTTCCTCTTCCAGGACCTGAGTGCAGGCTCCACTCTGAAGCATCCCGGACGCGTGGCCTCCGATGCAGAGGGGCTGAAGCTGCTCTGGGGGAAGAAGGTCCAGCCGCGCGCACAGCAGCTGCCGGGCAAGACCAAGCGGACACACAGGAGCGCCCTGGGCAGGGGGCAGGTGACAGATGGGCAGCAGCTGGGGGTACACAGCCAAGGCCGTGGCTCAGCCCTCAGGGCACAGTCAGTCAGCCCCCCCGCCCCCCCCTAACCAAAGCGTTTCACCCCCAGATTTCATGTCGCAGGTGGAGACACCTCCACCAGAAACGCAACCCTCATTAACACAGCGTCTTCTCCCAGCGCTGAGCATGCGGGAGGGAAGGACACCCCGGGCAGCAGCCCCCACGCCCACCCTCACGCTCTGGTGTGGCCGTAGGACGCGCGATGGAGCCGTGTCCTGCTTTGGTCTGACTTTGCAGCAACTGCCCCCACGGCGAGCAGGACTGAGAGCCACGTGTTCACGCTGCTGCTCCCCGCACACTCGCGGGGCCGCGGACCCGAAGCCGACGCCTCTCCTTCTGCAGCCACGACCCAGGACCTGGGAGCTGAGGGGGCCTGGGTGGCGTGGAGCGGACCCCCCGACATCCGGTCCCAGGGACGCTGAGAGGGCGGATTAGCACACAGTTCACACTTCGACCGGGACTCCAAGGGCCAGCGAGGCCCCAGGGCTCACAGCTCTTCCCCAGCAGCAGCTGCTGCCCTGGGGGCAGGTCGGGAGGGAGGGCCTGGCAGCGGCCGGGGGCTCAAGCCGGACGGGCCTTCCTGCAGCCAGAGGCCCCGCTGCTGTGCCGTCCCCTGGCTGCAGGAGGCGCCCTGCCGCTCGGGACCCCTGTCCCCGTGGGCGCGGGCAGGGCCGTGGTGCCGCCCTCGCCACACGATGCCGCCCCACCCCAGCTCCGAGGGTCCCAGGACGCGCCCCTGCCCTCTGGCGCCATCAGGCTCTGGGACCTCCTGGGTCTTCTGCCCCGGGGTGCAGGTCCCAGGAGGGGGCGCCGGAGGCAACGGTGAGGGGGGCCGTCAGCTCCCGCTGGGCACGTCCTCAAGGCGCTCGGCTGATGGGGACGGGGCGGTGGGGCAGGCCGTTCGGCGCCTGCCTGGGAAGATGTGGCTGGTGACCCGCAGCCCGGACGGCGGCCAGGACACGCCTGCTCCCTGGACCACAGCAGCCCCGCGGACGTCCCCGCGGGCACCAGAGGCCACCTGCTTCTAAGTGCCTGGCCCTGGGGCACCAGTCAGCAGCCGGGGCCTGGTGAAGGGGCGGGTGGCGGCCGCCTGGCGCATGTGGGGCCGCCGCCCGTGGGCACTGCGGTCCTGCTCTGACCGCCTGCTGCTCGCTCGGGCCCCTGGACGGGGGCTGCCTTGACCAGGTTGCCTCTGGCCCCAGAGGTCGGCCAGAGCTGGGTACTCCCCCCTACCCTCTAAAGCCAAACCACACCCTCGGGCCCAAAGGCACCAGGGGGTCGTTGTCCGTGGGCAGACGTCCATGGCTGGGGGAGCCTGGACCCGGAACCTGGCTGTCCCCGCAGCCAGACCAGCCCTGCCCCGCTCCGCGCTGTGGCGATAGCATGTGCTGCCCCCGAGGCGGTCACGCCGGGTGGACAGGAGGGTGCAGGGCGGGAGGAGATGTGGAGCTCAAAACACTGGTGATCAGGATGCTCATAGGACTCTGAGTACAGCACCAACGAAAGGAAGAAACGAAGGTCACACTAAATGAGATAAAAATCTACAGGGACCCGTCCGTGGAGAGGAGGCAGCCAGGATTCGAACCAATGGTTTGGAACACAGGGGAGGAAAAAGCATTCAATCCGAACACAACCTAGTGAGTGGGCCTGGACCCAGCTGCAGGGCAGACAGGGAGCAGTCCAGTGGGGCCAGGGGCGGGGGGGGGGCGCATGGGCACCGGATCACAGTCCCTCCCGAGGCAGAGCCACGACAGCAGCCGCGGGCCAGAGACGGACGCCCGCCCAGGGGGCGGCTGCGGGTCGGCCAAAGCCAGAGGGAGGAGGGCGTCAGCAGGGATCCCTTCCTGGGGGCAAGGCGGCCGCCCTGCTGGAGACTGAGAGCAAGCCTGGGCCGCGGGGGTAGGGAGCAGCCCCCAAACGGCTGGCTTAGGGGCTGGCCGGGGGGCTACCAAAAAAGGCGGCGTTTCAAATCCCACACGAGGGAACTGCCTTGAATTCGGAAGCCTAAATTTTCTATCAAGTAACAGGAGACGCTGAGAGCTATGTTACTGTCAACCACTGGCTCGCATCCCTGACGTGACTGGGTGACAACTCGCGGGGCCGGCCGCCTGCGCAGCGGCCGCCACGACTCGGGCCTGCGCTGCTGGCCTGGCCCTGCTGCCCCTGTGGCCCCAGAAACCACGCCGCCCGCCCCCCGTGGCCCCGACCAGCCCTGGAGTGGCCGCGGTGGGCGGGTGGGTGTGGGGCTGTGGCGGACGGGGGTGGGGCAGGAGCGCTGCGCTCGGGCCCTTCCACTTCCAGGCGCGGACACTAAGGGAGAGGCCTGACCTGCCGCTACAATTGTTTACTGGGGGCACCTGGGAGGGCAGCTGAGAAACTTCTTAACGGGAGCCACACTTACCTGTTATTTCAAAGGTAAGCACCAGGTGGCAGCAGTGAGTAACGTGCTACCGTGACAGACTCGTACACTGGGCGGTTTTTCCTGGTTGCACACTGTATGGTGTCAGAGAAGGGCTTTTACCAATGATGCAGCCTAGACGGCAGAGAAGAAGCGCGTTTCCTGCTGAACTTTACCGTGGCGTTACTTACAATACGCACGCTAGATGGGAACAGAAAAGGGCTTTTCTCCATGACCCTCACGAGTATTATTCCAAAGGTCAACACTAGGTGGCAGCAGAGAAGCGCTTTTCGGTGAGACCCAGGCAGGTGCTCCCCGCCAGGTGCACGCACACTAGGTCCCAGCGGAGATTCACCTTTCACGACGTGCACTCAAGTGTTATTCACGGGGCGCACACTCGGCGGCAGCACACAGAGCTGACTCGTCGCTCTATCACCCCCTAGCTGGGCTTCATGCGATTTCAGGCAAATCCAGGGAAACTCGGTCTCCTCCTCTGCCAGACGGGGCGACCGCGCCCCAGGGTGGTGGCTGTGAGGATCCCACGAGGTACGCGCGCAGCCCCCGCCCGGCCTGTGGTCGGCCGCGCTCTCCCTCCCTCTTCCCTTCTGTGTCCTCCCTTTATCTTCTAAGGGCTGGACAAACTGAGAATTTAGAAAATAGCCTTTTAGTAGAATGAGCTCTCCTGCTGGCGCCCCAACAGCCAGGCTCCCTGGGCCTGGCCCCCCAGCTCAGGCCGCGCCTCCTCGCACCGGTCCCCTCGCTGCTCCCTCTGCTCCCTGTCCCCGTCTCCTCCAATCCGACCTCCACACCGTGACCCCGCTGACCTTTCAAAAGTGGGGCTCTAATCCTGTCACTTCCCGGCATGAGACCTGCCAGCCTAGAGAATCGAGCCTCCACCATCGGCACAGGCGGAGACTCTGGATCAGGCCCCGCTCTCTTCTCCTGGTTTTATTTCAGGCCCCAGCACCCCGTTCCGCCACCAGGGACCCCGGAAGCTGACGTCAGCCTCCCTGGCTGGCGATCAGTCGGGGCTTCAACACACAGAGGTGCCGGCACTGAGGCAGACGTGGGAAACTGAATTACATATAGATAAAAGTTAAAAATATGTATTGATATGTTCATTAATTATAACAATTCTGTTCAAAAAATAGAAATTAAGAGTCAAATAAGAAAAATCTATTGCCTCAAACTGAAAAACTAGAGAAATGGGTCATGTCCTAGTAAAAATACACTTTATTCACACGGTCCTCGTTCTCTCCGTTTTGTGTGTCTCCATTCTGTTCGCATTTTCTCTGTGTTCTCTGTCCCTTCCTCGTTCCCTGAGTTTTCTGCATTCTCTGTTCTCTCATCTCCTTTCTCTCCGTTTACTGCATTCTCTCTATTTTGTCCAGTTAGGACCCTGGCACCTTTGCACACCACGTACTGGGATGGGACTATGCTTTCGTTACAGTGTTTGCCAAAATAAGGACCCGAAAATTGTAGAACAGATGATTCAGTGTGATTGTGACGTGCAAGACCAGTGACTCGCCCGTCGTGGGACAAGCCGGGACTGGCCCAGAACCCCGTGACGTCGCACAGGGGCCGGGATTCTGAGATAACTGCCACCGCCCCGAGCCCAGATGTGCTTCTGGAGAGCAGGTGAACACCGGAGCTCACGCGGGAGACACGCGACCTCACGCGCGGGCCTCCCGTCCTCCACGAGGAGACCGGAGCGCCGGACCGGGTGCAGCGCCTCGGGGCCGGGGCCGGGGCCACACGCAGACGCAGCAGGCGCCCCACGGAGACCCGCTGGGCTGAGGCAGCTGCTCCCCCCGGGGAGGCCGCGGGGTCGGGCACGTCTCACGGCCCCTCACGGAACAGTCACTGAAAATGCTGGTCCGCCACCAGGGCACGAGTTGATTTTAAAATTTAACAAACATTTTTAAATGCAGTGCAAAAGAATGTCTTTGTAAAGAACATGAAAATAACCCGTCACATTCTTCATTGTACGGACTGACTTCTGTGCAACGCAGCCATTTAATAAAGAGCTGGTTAGTATCGGCCACGTCTCAGCTGTGAGCAGGTGACAACTGGAAATACGACTCTAGACCCCGACACACGTTTTATTTACATGCTCGATCGTGGATTTAACCGTCTCGCTAGATGCAGCCGAAGATACAAATGAGTCTCCAGCTTATTTCTGGATCACAGTCAGGCGGACGGGGTAGGAAAGGAAGAGACAGCTCAGACCACCGGGCTTTATTCCTAGAGACCTGGGTCCTCCATACACAAGGGACGTCTGGCTGGAATTACGACAAAGTGGGTGAAAATGAAAGAGCAACTTAAACTCATTTCACCAGGAAACCCCACCCAGGGGCTTCCCACTTGGAGAGCAAGCGAGGCAGGCGTCTTCAGGGCAGGTGTGCGTCGGGCGCAGGGCGGTGTCCACCGGCATCAAGGAGCCAGGTGCGGGGTTCGGGGGGGAGTGGGGCCGGTCTCTCAGGCCTGCAGTGAGGCCCGAGACGTCAGAGACCAAACCGCTGCCGGGGGCGGACCCCGCAGGCCGGGCTCCTTCTGCGGCTCTGGGGACAGAGCCAGGGTGCCTGCATCTCCCAGGGCCGGGGGCGGCCGTGGTGAAGGTGCGGGCGCCTCCCCGCCCTCCCCGCGGGCCGCGTCTGAGCCGCAGGACCGCGGCCTCCTGCCCGCAGGGCTCTTCCGACCCGGTGAGGCCGGGGGGCCTGCTGCTCCCGCCCAGGAGGTGCCTGGGGGCATCGCTGAGAATAAAACACTCACTTCCGAGAAGAGGGAGCCTTTCGCACACTGTTGGCAGGACCGTGAATTGGTGCAGCCTGTGGGGCACGCAGTACGGAGGTTCCTCAAAAATCAAAACTCCATCTCCCGTGTGACCCAGCAATTCCTCTCCTGCTTGCCCGGGGCAACGGGGTCAGCACCGCAAACGCCGGGCAGGCCCTCCAGTTCCTGTCAGCGTCGGTCACAGTGGCCAAGACACGGAAACAGCCCACGTGCCCGTCAGGGGATGGGGGACGTGGCACACACGTTCCACAGAACACTATTCAGCCATGATAAGGACACCCTTCCGCTGGGGACGTGGATAAACCCTGAGTGAATGAAATAAGCCAGACTCCAAATGACAGATACTGCACTTTTATGTGGAGTCGTCAACAGTTGACAAAGAGGCAGAGTAGAACCGGGGTTGCCCGGGTCCGGAGGACGGGGAACGGGGAGAGGCTGGTCCAGGGGTGAAGTTTTAGTTCTACCAGGCGAGTAAATACGGGAGATCTAGGGTGAAAACCCCGTGACTGTAGTTAACACGACTTTTTAGACGCCTGAAAGTTGCTAGGAGGGGACATCATACGTGGCAGCCTTGCTGGGACCTCTGAGCGTCGCCAGGGAAACCCCGTCTGAGCTGTTTCACCTGAACAGTAAAGACGGACCGAGAGGCCAGGCAGCAGGGACCGTCCGCGTGCTCGGCCGCAGCTCTGAGAGCGAAGTCTGCGGACTCGGGAGGGACGCGCTGCCCCACCTCTTCCCCGCCCCTCCCCCACGTCCCTGTCCTTTGCAGGCTAGAGCCGGACGCAGAACAGAGCGCGCCCTTATAGGTACCTTAGAGGTACTTATACACAACCTTTGAGGGCACAGTTTGGAGGTGCACACGCACCGGGCACTTGTAGAAGTGGGACAGCAGGGCCTCGCTGTAGCCCACGAGGAAGTAGAGCTTGTGCGCGGGCAGCTTCCTCAGGACCAGGGCGCAGACCTCCAGCTGGTTGGCGCGGCGCTTCAGGACGGGCTGGTCGGCCAGGCAGCCGGGGAAGGTGCCCAGCATGAACTTGCGAAGAAACACGTCCTCCACCGTGCGCTCCGCGGCGTGGTCCTCCCCGTCCAGGTTACCTGAGCAGAGAAGGCACCGCGGCGTCGGCCCAAGATGCCGAGGCGACCCCCGAGGCAGCACCAGCACCCCGCCCCGCCCCGCCCCGCCCCGCCCCGCCCTGCCTCTTCTGCACGTGGAATTCGAACAGCACTTCAGAGTTCGAAGCACATCATTCCATCAAACCCCGAAACCAGGCACTGCCGCTCTCCTCGTCTCACAGAAGGAAAGCGGGGGCCTCGCCCAGGCCGCAGAACTCGGGTGGCCGCTCCCCGCTCCCTTCCCGCTCCCCGCGCCCCCGTGCACCGGCCGCCCTGCAGGTGGGAGGCCAGGCTGCCGGCCCCTCTGAGGTTTGGGACATGAGCTCTCTCGCCCGCCAGGGCCGTGGCCTCGCCAGTGACCTCAGTGGGGACCCCGCACCCCTGCACCTGTTTCTGCTGAGCCTCCCCACCCACCTCCACACCTCAGACACAGACCCCAGGAAGGGCGAAAGGACAATAATTTCTTCAAATGTCTCTACACAGGTGCCCCGCAAACATCCAAGCTGAAAGCCCTCACGCTGAACACAATGCACTCGATTGTCATCAGTTTACGTTCTGTTTCCTGAATGTCACTGTGAACAACGAATTGGCAAAGCCTCAGCCACAGCGCCTGGGGCGAGGCCGCGTCAGCCTCTCCGAGCCTCGGTCCCGTCATCTTTGTCAGCGGACGAACACGCAGCCTTGTCCTCTGTGTTTCCACTTCGAGGCGCCTCGCCTGTCACTCGGGCCGGAACGCCGCGGTCTCCCCGCGGCCCGGACTCGCCCGAGGGAAGCCCGTCCCAGCCGCCTTCCGCTCAGGGACCTAGAACGGCACGTGCGCCTCACCGGCCATTTTAAGGCAGCGGAGTCACCGACAAAACTGCAAAGACGCGGCACTAATAAATCTCGGAAAGGACACACATTTATTGCGGGAATCCTGAAACAAGAGGGCAGAGCTACGGTGGGGAACAGACAGCGCAATATGCAGAGGATGTTTCGCGGACTGCACACCCGAGACCTGTGTAATTTCATTAATCAATGTCACCCCAATATGTCAACTTAACATTTTTAAAGAATAAAGTTTAAAAAAAAGAAGAAGAAGAAGAAGTCAGAGCCCTATTCCACCGCCGCTGGGAAGGCGCCGTGTCTGAGCCTGACCGAGAAAGTGCCCAGAGCGGCACATTCGCGCGCACAAAGAAAACAGAAGAATCCCCGCTTGCGCGGGAACCGCAGCGCCCGCAGCGCACGGTCGCGGCGCCCCAGCCGCTTCGCTTCCGCGGGCTCGGAGCCGCTCGGCCCCGCTATCGGTCACAGGGCACGGCCAGCAAGGCAAAGGCTGCTCCCGCCTCGAGTCAGCGCGTCGTTTCCGAGGAGGCTGAACCCCGCTCCCCGCGGAAAGAGCCAGTTCAGGATCCTCCAGACCCAGGTCGCCGCTCCCGACCTGCCTCTGCCTGGTCACTTCTCCTCTGCGCGTGTGCACCTGACTTCGGACTCGGGCACCGACTACTGATGGGGACGAGCCTCGGACACCGGCTCCTGTCGTGTCTGTGTCGGAGAGTCACAGCCGAGACCCTCCGGTGCGGCCCGCGGTCCCCTCACCTGTGTGCAGCGACAGCCAGCCCTTGCGGTGGGCGATGTGGTGAGGCGCGTGCGCCTCCTCGTAGGTCACCGGCTTGTCCCCTTTGCCCACTCGGACCCGGGCCGCCCGATTCTAGGAGCAAAGAGCGGCCGTGAGTCCGCGCGCCGGACCCAGGCTGCGACCTGGGCCCCCGTCCCCTCCGCCCCTCGGGCCCACCCCCGGCCCCTCGCCCCTCGCCCCTCGCCCCCGGACCGCTCACCTTGGCGCACGCGGCGGAGAGGTGCAGGGCGCGCCAGGCCCCCGGCAGCGCGCGGCCCCAGGAAAGCACCTGTGTGTGGACGGGGGGGACGGTGAGACAGGAACCGGGGCACCCCCGACCCGCCCGGCCCGCCGCCCGTGCCGCCCACTCACTTGCGGCCCGAGCCCCCGGCCGCACACGGAGGCCGCCATCTTGAGCGGAGCACCGCCCGTGACGCATCGGCGCGCCGCGGGGCAAAGGTCAGCGCCGGGAGGCCGCGCCGCGGACGAGCCCAAACCGAGGCCGGCGCGGGGGTGCGAGTGGCCCGGCTGGGGGCGGGGCCTGTCGGCCGGGACGCTCTCCTGGCGGCGCCGCTGCTGCCTGTTGGCCTCGTGGTTCCGGTTCTGAGGCCGGAGGAAGCGGAGCGTGAGGCTCCGCCCGGGACTCACACCGGCGACCTGAGGCTGCTTGAGTTGTCTCCAAATTATTATTTTTTATTATTATTACAGTGTGGACTATATTTAGTACATTAAAGTCCTCACAGTACACAGAAACAAAGCCACAAAAACTGTCAAGCAGATGCCATGTTCGTAAAGAAAAAATACACTTATGTACATACAATAATAAATATAAAAGTATTTCAAGTTAGTGGTTTATCTTTGGGAAGTATGATCGTGTGTAATTTTTTCTTTCGGTTTAGGTGCTTTTCCTATAATGCACATACTTCTGAAAATGTTTGACTTTTTAAAAAATTTTAATTTTTAACTTTTTAATTCCAGCTTACTTTCACTAGTATTTTCAAACATTTATTCGTTTTTAAGATTGTAATTATTTTTAGAGGGAGAGGGAGGGAAACATCCTTGCGTGGTTGCCTCTCGCGCGCCCCCTGCTGGGGGCCTCCTGGATTTAGCCACAAATGAAGAAAAATACGTTTTGGTTAAAACCTGACCCAGTTGGCCACGACTGCAGGGAGGCTGAGCGGAGCAGTCGGGCCAGGTGAGCCATCGGGCAGCGGCGCTGCAAGGGTGCGGGCGGCTCCACCCGGGCACAGACAATGCAGCCGGGAGGCCGCGCTGCTTTGGGGCAAGGTGGCAGCGCAGGTGTGTCTTCAGGGAGGGGGGATCTCGGGGCCCCTGGAAGGGAGGCGTTCACTTAGCGAATGTATGTGAAGCATTCACTGATGTTAGGCACAGGGACAGGCATCTACTGTATAGTAGGGCACACAAGGGTGAAAGAAACTAACATGGCTTCATGGAGCTCACATTTATAAGGTTTCTCACCAGTATGAATTCTCTGATGACAAAGTTGGAACGGTCACTGAAATTTTTTCCACATTCCCTACGTTTTCCTTTTAGAATTTGTCTTTTATTTGGAGATAAGTCCCATTTGACACTTTTTCCAAAGGAATCAAATGTATGTGGTTTCTGTGAATAAGTAATATGCTGTGGAATAAGTTGAGATCTTAGATCTAAACTTCTCTTAAATGCATTGACATTATGTTCACTTTCCTCTAAAGATATTTCTTCATGGAAAACTACTGCTTGATGAAAACCAGTGGTTTGGGCAAGAAAATTTTTTTTTTAATTTTGCCTATACAATACTCCCCCCCCCCTTTTATTTTTTTTTAACAAATCTCAGTTGGTTTTTTAAAAAAGACTTTATTTATTTACTTTTAGAGAGAAGGAAAGGGAGGGAGAAAGACAAGAAGGGAAACAGCAACATACATCAGATTGGTTGCCCCTCTTGCACACCCCCACCTGAGGACCTGGCCCACAGCCCGGACAGGTGCCCTGACCAAGAACCAACCAGCGACCCTTCGGTTGCCGGCTGGCGCTCAGTCCCCTGGGCCGCGCGAGCCACAGCCCCCTCTGCTCTTCTGCCTCGGCCTTGTATGCGCAGGCCTCTTCAGAAAAGTACCCTTGGGACACATGCCCTCTTGGTCTTTTCATGATGGCAGTGATAAAGCTGCTCACTCCAAAGTACACTCGAATGGTCTTCCCTTTGGAATATGCTCTGGTTTTCAAATCTGAAAGGAATAGAAAATGTAGAAATATCTTCTTCTGTGTTGTGCACGCAGGAAAAAAGAAAATAAACTTAATAAAATTAATGCATGTCAGAGTAAACAGTCTTGTAATAGGGAAAATAAGAATCAATGGGCTAGAGATAAGCAGAGGCAGAAGTGGTAGGAAAGAGGATGGTCCAATAGACGTCACAAAAACACTTGAAGCTGGAAACAAAATGCTTTAAAAATGTGCCCTGGCTGGTGTGGCTCAGTGTATTGAGCTTCTCTCCCTCTCTTTCTCCCTCCCTTCCCCTAAAAATAAATAAATAATTTTTTTAAAAAAGAACTACAGTTTAAAAAGATACAAAGGTTATTAATGGGATGGTCAGAAATAGGACTTAGGCTCCGTGCGCTGCCCTGCCACGGTAACCTTAAATGAGAGAGTGGACACGTAACCGTCCAAAATATAATGAAGGGGATGCACGCCAATACCAGCCAATGCGCAACAGGAAGAAATGGCGCAGTGATAGCACCTGGAGAGAAGCTACTGACGGAAATAAAGACAGCGCCTGGAAAAGCACTGTAGAAAGGAGTACTATTTGAATAGGTCCAACTCTGAACGGCAGAATAGTAGAACTTTAGGCGTTAAGAAGAGCTTCTTGGGTAACATTTGAGAGATTCCACTCCTAGGAAACACCCCTGAATCGCACATACGGACTTAACCCTTGATCTGAACGAGCGCCTCTAGAGACCTCAAAGCCTCACAGGACCTCCATGGCCTCTTTCCTGGGCTGAGAGTAATTTTAGAAACTTGGAATCTTGCTCGTTAGAAAATACGTAACAAAGTCAATACTCTCATCACTTACATTTAATACTTTGAAAATCTTAAAGCACCATAGCCCTATCACTTTATAAGGGGTATAATCGGAGCCTCCCTACTCGCTGATTGAGTCCCCCAACAACAGGAAAGGTAAGATGCCACACCGGGGAGGACACGCCGAGCCTCGGAGGGAGGTGCCACTGGAATGGCTGGAAAGGAAGGGCAGCACACGAGGGGGCCGGGGGGCGCCTAACGAGGCCGCGGCACCGGCCGCAGTCACAAAGGCGGAGGTGCCGGCGCAGGCGGGTGCCGGCGGAAGGCCCCCTGAGAACCGCAAAGGAGGGGTCACTAAAAATTGGAAGATCATAGTTAGCTTCTTCACTAAGTAAAGATTTGCATACTCAAATAATTCTCAGCAAGCATTAGCACAAGGAAAACTTGAAATGTTGCAGACTGTAGTGTCAGGATAAATGTAATCGCTGCGCAAGTCCCCCAAAGAAACAACTGTTTTAAGTCAAAAGTGGGGCCTCCAAGCGAACATTTCAGCGCCGTCTCCGTGTCGGGGTCGCGGGCTGCAGGCACAACACACAATCCCGGCTCCACTCGGACTCCCCTGAACCGAGGCCCCGAGGCCCGAGGCCTGTCCCTTCCCCGCGCAGGGGGCCCACTCCCCACCAGGATGCCGCTCGCGCCGCGTTTCCGGCCCGCACTGACCTCACGCGACCCCGGGCTCCAGCCAGCCATCCCCGGAAGGCGGCAACCAGCCGCAGGCGGTGGGGTCGGGGCGTCCAGAGTAAACGACGACAAACTGCAACTCCCAGAATGCTCTGGCCACTTCCGCTTCCGTTCTCAGCGACTTCCCTTTCCCAGAAGACCCGGGAAACCGCGGGCTGCTAGCCCCTCCGGGCGCAGGGGGCGGGGCCGTGGACATCTCAGCCAATCGGAGCCACGCACCGGAGTCTGCACGGAAACCGCTGCCGCCCTGGCCACCGGCTCCGGTGCACTCCGCTCGGTATCACCGCGAAGTGTGCGCGCGGCTTCTGAGCCCTGCGGTGCGCCGGGAAGGAAAGACGGTGTAAGAGATTTACAGACGACAGAGGCCTCTGTGGTCCTTTGGATACTGCTTCTCCCGCAGTGACGGACGAGGGACTTCGTCGCTGCGTGATGCAGGCCCCTCCCAGCAGTTGCGCGGAGCCTGGGGCAGCAGGGAAGACCCACCGCCCTGTGGACGAGGGTGCCGGTGCTTGGATCTCTACCTTGAACTGGCGCTGGCCTGACACGAGCCCTTTTACAGAGCTGCGTCCCCAGACATAGCAGCGAATGCCTGGACCATTAAGCGAGCTTTGCCAGGAGGTGGAAAAGGGGGTTGAATGGACGAAAAGAGGGCCTTCGAGGAGGTCAGGCGGGGCCTCTTGTACAAAGACCTGATACCTGAAGAAGCAGCTGGGTGGCCTGGGAGAACTGGGCAGGGACACGGGCCAAGAGCAGAGATTTGTCCACAGCAGAGGGTGGAGTTCATGACTTGCGCCACCAGCCGGGACACAGGCTCCCAAGGCTGAAGCTGGCGAAGCCTCCACGCTGAGGTCCTGGCCCTCAATCCACATATTCATCGTTTACATTACTGAATACCGACCACGTGCTAGTCATCACTCAAGGTGCTGGGGAGGCAGGAGGAAAACGAGGCCCTGGGTCCTCAGACCTTTGGTTCCTGCAGGGAGACAGATCATAGACGAGAAAATAAGACGTGAGCAAAAATGGGGGTGAAATGAGGGCCAGCCACGCACAGGACTGAGGGCAGAGTTTCCTAGCTGATCTGAGGCCCTCTGTGCAGAGGCCCTGAGATGTGGGTGCACGAGGGGAGCCAGGGCCAGTGAATCTGGGCAGACAATGAGGAGGGAAGGGCCAACAGGGGCGCACTGCATGCAGGCCCCCTAAGAATAGTGAAGACTGGGTCTTATTACAAATGAGATGAGGGAAGAGTGTAATCCTTTTGCCTACTGGGCGTAGAACAAGCCTGGGCATGTGGGGGGACCTCAGGGGTGGCCGGAAGGCTACCGGCTATACTCCAGGCTTTGGTGAAGGGGCTTCGACCGCTGGCAGGCAGGGGTATGTGGCTGAGGAGGGGCGGGCTTGAATAGATCTTAAAAAGTGGACGGAGGATGGGGTCAGTGTTTTTGACACTGAAGTTTTGGCCTCAGTGTCTCAAAGAACAAAGGAGCCACTTCTGACAGGAAGACCGAGGTTTCGGGATTGGGTGGAGGGCTATGCTTTGGACGTGACACGTGAACGTTGCCCGCAGACACCCTGGTGCTGAGTCTGCTGGGAGCTGGGAAAGGAGCTCTGGGTGGGGACCCAAGGAAGTGCACCGGGGGCACCCCCACATCCATAGGTAGGGCAGTAGGTGC